TTTTTGAAACGTGAGTTCTTGATCTATTTTGCTAGTCATTATTTCCTTTTGGAAATTATTATTGACTTAGGGATCATCCTAGAGTTTCTACAACTTTTGCTTTCCCAGGGTCATTGTGGGGATTGTTGGTCTGGGAAGAGGTTAATGGCTTCGCTCATTTGTTTTTATTCCTTTCTGTAGCCCTTTCTATAAGTTCTTATCTCAAATCTGCAGAAATAGTTTGGCTTTTCTTTGGATTGCTTTCCATTCCATGTTATCTTGTACATGCCATTCATGGAGAATCTGAAAGGCTTCTGCAAATGAGTTTCACTGTCTCGACATGCTGTCTAGTGTCTGACTTTTTTGTCTAGGATAGGATTATATTCCTTTAGGCTAAATTTCTTTCGATTTATTTTTAAGACTTGACATTAAAACTTGGCTTGCCCTATCCCTTTGTTTTGTCTGCAGCTTACTTTTTGGAAGCTTATCGCCCTGTGAGGAAAGGAGATCTGTTCCTTGTCAGAGGAGGAATGAGAAGTGTAGAGTTCAAGGTTATTGAAACAGACCCAGGAGAATATTGTGTGGTTGCCCCAGACACTGAGATCTTCTGTGAGGGGGAACCAGTGAAAAGGGAGGATGAGGAAAGGTTGGATGAAGTTGGTTATGATGATGTGGGTGGTGTTCGGAAGCAGATGGCTCAAATCCGTGAATTAGTTGAGCTGCCACTGAGGCATCCTCAACTGTTTAAATCCATTGGTGTGAAACCACCAAAAGGAATTCTGCTTTATGGACCCCCGGGTTCAGGAAAGACATTAATAGCCAGAGCTGTTGCCAATGAAACTGGTGCTTTTTTCTTTTGCATTAATGGGCCGGAGATTATGTCTAAATTGGCTGGAGAGAGTGAGAGTAATCTCAGAAAGGCATTTGAAGAAGCGGAGAAGAATGCCCCATCAATCATCTTTATTGATGAGATTGATTCAATTGCTCCTAAGAGGGAGAAGACACACGGTGAGGTCGAAAGGCGGATTGTTTCTCAACTTTTGACTCTGATGGACGGATTGAAATCTAGAGCTCACGTTATTGTTATTGGTGCTACAAATCGTCCAAACAGTATTGACGTGGCTTTGAGAAGGTTTGGTAGGTTTGATAGGGAGATAGACATTGGTGTTCCTGATGAAGTTGGGCGCCTTGAAGTTCTTCGCATTCACACCAAGAACATGAAACTCTCTGATGATGTAAGTTGATCCTGTTCTTTTTCTCTAAGTTTGTTTTAAAGGTAAAGCATGTACTGTATCTGGAGTAGATGATGACAGTTTAGGTTCCCTAATATTAACTGGATCCGTTTAAACAAGCTAGTGACACCATAAGTTATCCTATAAACCAAAAGGAAACTGCAAGATATACGTGTTACATATGATTACTAAAGCATAGGTTTGATGGACCATACTGTAAGTTTGAAAAATCTGTTTGTGTTCGCAAAGTTGGCCTGGATCATTTGTAAAAGTTTCTTTCTTAAATGCCAATCTGGTTTATATTGTTCATTCTTTATCTTCCTTCAGCTGTTCCTTCAGCTGTTATAAATTATGCTTCCTGCTGTTCAGGTTGATTTAGAGAGGATTTCCAAAGATACACATGGGTATGTTGGTGCTGACCTTGCTGCTCTCTGCACTGAAGCTGCACTGCAATGCATTAGGGAGAAGATGGATGTGATTGACTTGGAAGATGAAACCATTGATGCGGAGATACTCAACTCAATGGCTGTAACAAATGAGCACTTCCAGACTGCTCTAGGAACAAGCAATCCATCTGCTTTGCGCGAAACGGTGAGTGTTATTCGGCTTGGATTCCATCTAGTATTGTATAGAATTATCATTTTATATTTTTGACATATGATTTTGTTTTAAATCTTTCTTTCTATTCTTTGATTTGGGTCAGGTTGTTGAAGTTCCCAATGTTAGTTGGGAGGATATTGGAGGCCTTGAAAATGTCAAGCGGGAGCTACAAGAGGTAATAACGTTTATTGTATTGGTATTCTGTTTATATCTTGTATGTTTTTTTTTTTACTTTTGCTGCTTAGTGCTTACAACCAAGTCTTTTTTGTTTCTGCCTTGTTTTCTTGAAGACTGTTCAATATCCTGTCGAGCACCCAGAGAAGTTTGAGAAATTTGGCATGTCACCTTCTAAAGGGGTCCTTTTCTATGGACCCCCAGGATGTGGGAAAACTCTTTTGGCCAAGGCAATCGCAAATGAATGTCAAGCTAACTTCATCAGTATCAAAGGCCCTGAACTACTCACCATGTGGTTTGGTGAGAGTGAGGCCAATGTTCGAGAAATCTTTGACAAGGCTCGTGCATCTGCACCATGTGTCCTTTTCTTTGATGAGCTTGATTCCATTGCTACGCAGGTCAGTTTTATCATTTATTGACTTTTATTTGCTTTTAACTATGCACATATGATTTTCATACATTAAAGTCATCAGAAATTTGAACTGCAAATTTGGTTCCACTTGCTTATTAGTTTGCGTAGGAGAAGTGTTTGCTTCAATATAGTTGAATTGCAGAATAGTAGTAATTTAACCTTGTTAGGATGCCCATAATTTGCTTTTGTTTCCTTTTGATTTGTTGATTTTACTTCACACTGATTGTTGCAGAGAGGAAGCAGTTCTGGGGATGCAGGGGGTGCTGCTGATCGGGTTCTTAACCAACTCCTGACTGAAATGGATGGCATGACAGCAAAAAAGACGGTTTTCATTATTGGGGCCACAAACCGACCTGACATCATTGACCCAGCACTTCTCCGACCTGGCCGTCTTGATCAATTGATTTATATTCCTCTTCCTGATGAAGAATCGCGTTTCCAAATCTTTAAATCCTGCTTGAGAAAATCACCTGTCTCAAAAGATGTTGATTTGAGAGCATTGGCCAGGTATACACAGGGCTTTAGTGGGGCTGATATCACAGAGATCTGCCAGCGGTCCTGCAAGTATGCAATAAGAGAAAATATTGAGAAGGTATCTCCTCATTTGTCCTTATTGCTTCTTCACCTTCCTAATATTGCTCATTTATACTGGTCATAAACGTTGATAGCTTACATTTTCATGATTGTACCTTTCCTCTTGACCAAATGTGAAGTACAAACTTGTTCTCGCATGAATAACTGATCCTGGCTGCTTAACTAAGTTATTTCTTGAAACTACAAGCTCTGCTTGTTCAGAGCTGTTAACTTGGAACCTTACCAATTTGATTTTCAAGCCTTGCATATCTGATTTCATTGTGCTCATCTCTTTTGGCTGTAGCGATTAGGGGCTTTATATGGCAATATTTTAATGCAAAATAGGAAAGGCTTTGAACAGGGTGGTTCCATTTGATGAAACATGCAAATCTCTCTGGTTCACATCCCAAAACTTGGGATGTGGTTATCTAGCCTTGTAGACATGGATTGACACTGCATGTAACGTAAATTCTGCACAAGTTCTATATATCATTAACGCATGATGTGATTGCAGGATATAGAGCGGGAGAGAAGGAGAGGGGAGAATCCGGATTCTATGGATGAGGACATCGATGACGAAGTGGCAGAGATTAAAGCTGCTCATTTTGAGGAGTCAATGAAATATGCTCGTAGGAGTGTCAGCGATGCAGATATTCGCAAATATCAGGCCTTTGCTCAGACCTTGCAGCAGTCCAGGGGTTTCGGAACGGAGTTTAGGTTTGCTGATAACCCAACTGGGGCAACTGGTGCTGATCCATTCGCAACTTCTGCTGGTGGGGCTGACGAAGATGATTTGTATAGTTAGTTAATATTTATTTATATATGCATGGTTTCGGGTGACATTTGTGTCTACTGATATGCTTTTGTCTGCTCCTCTTGTCACCCTGGAGGAAGCCTTTCCTTTTCATAGTTATGACTAGTCTTCTGTGTATTAAAGAGTTTGTGGGGTTTGCTAGGATGACATGGTGTTTCAAGTTTCATATGCTGTTAATCTATTTCTATCAATCAATGGATGGATGGATTGAAAAAGGCCGCTTGCTATGTTCATGGAATTTGTTATGTTTAAATAGATAAGTTGTCCGAACTGGATGAAGTCGAGTTAGATGCTACTGGTTTTGCTTTGTTGTTCCTCTTCAGATGGGATGGATTGCGACTTTGAGCGGTGAGTATAGAGTCCGCTGCTTCCGTGCCTACTTGACTTTGGTCTATGGATGATCTATGGTGGATTGGGAGGGTAGTTTTAATCTCAGCTCTAAATTATTTTGGAGTGGCTGGATTTTGTGGAATTACCCGAGCCTTCACCTAATGGACAAAAGAAACTGAAATATTGCAAGAATTGTAGGTATTTTATAGATCAAATTGCAGATGATGTGATTTTGCTTTAGGCCGGCCTCAAGTCAGGTGCATGACTTCTCACCCTTCGAGATGGGCCAGGTTTTAGTGCCTGGTGTCATGGATGATGACTCTCAAAAATTAAGAGAAATGTCGGAAATCGGTCGCCAGTTTTTAACCATGATGTAAACACAATCTTACTATTCACGTGAAATGAACTTTTTATTTATTTATTATAAAGAACTCATGAAATTTTTGCTGGAGATTCAAAGTCAGCCAAATATTTGCCTTTTGCATTCTGTGATCAAAACGTGGGATAGCTGTATAAAAATAAAGAACAGAAAAATGGCGCATGGGAGAATCTTTGGTTCAAAAACTTCTTGACATGGGTGAAAAATAAACGTAATAAATTAAATAAACCACTTCTCATTTAACCATAATTACTCATAAGTATACTTAACACTTATACGTTTCTCAATTCCATCTCTTTCTAAGAATCTTCGTAAGTGCCAGTTATATAAAATTACTCTCACAATACGTGAGTAAATTCACCACAAAATAGTGAGACTCACATGCATATTGTGAGAGACACTTTGTAATATGTATAATCCGCACATACAATCCATTAATCCACCACTCATAAAACGCGGAAATCATATGCAAAACACCACTTCAATCTTTTTCCCCAGTCCTCCCCATCAAGGTTTCTTGGAGCGCATAGAAGAACAGCCTTGGCCAAGTGCGTGATAGTTCACGTACCGGCTTGGAGCCGAGGCATGCCTAAACCCTTTTGGCAAGCAACCCTTCACTTCCCTCCCATGAAAAACTTGTTGCTTGTGATTCAAGTCCTGAGGCTTCATGCCCACATAGTGATCTAGCCCCTCCTTGACCAAAGGCCTCACCATCGTGCTCGGGGCGCTAGATGGGATGTTTCTTGCAGCCAAAGAGACGTCAAAACAAGTGAAGAAGAGCAGGGAATATATGAGGGCAATGCAGAGAATAGAGGAGGACATGTCTGAAATATGTTTTTGAGTGAGGGTTTTTTGAGTTTGTGAGGAATGTAATGTAATGTAAATTTGAAGGTTGGTTTGAGGATGAGAGGGGTTTATAGGGGGTTTTATTTATGGGGCTAGTGTTGCGGAAAAGGAGGTGAAATTGAAAAGGGGTCTTAAATGGGCTCGTGAGTAGCTGAACAAGGCAGAGGGTGCACAGCTCATCGCTAGCAAATTCAAATGCAAATATTAGTTTTGGGGTTGTGGTGGTGGTGATGAGTATGACTGATGATATGATATGAGTTGGTGTGTGGTGGGTGCTTTTTTAGACTGTTGAGAAAGGAGGATGCCCGTGAGCTTCTGTCATATGGCACGGTTTGCACCCGGCCCTCTATATCTTCCCATTATTAACTCCAGATCAATTCAATTTTTTTCCTTTTTCCAAACCCAAAAAAAGTGAAATTGATTTTGAGAGAGAGAGGAGGCGCCAAGTGACAAATTTTTTTTTTTTTTTAAATTTAAAATTTTGGTTGAAACTTCATAGAGGCCCAACAACTTTAGGATTTAAGAAGTATCTGCAGTGCACTCACCTTTTGTACCTTTGTTATAAGAAATCTGAAAAAAAGAGAACATAAATGGAACAAACATACAGAGAACGAAAACAGAGGTGCTTAATTAAAATACATGAAAGTTAGATTGAACTTGTATGACAAAATAATATTTAGGAAGTTCTCTTTAAAAACTTGTTAATAAGGATAATTTTTAAATATGACCGTAACGCCGCCACATGATCGCATTAGCAGCATCTACCCATAAGCAAGCAACTACTAAATAGTAGAGTAACAAGGATTCAAAAATTGCCCAACTACTTCCTTTTTTAAGATAATTAGGATGTTTCTTAATTCCAGAAGGAAAAAAAAAAGCATATTATAAATTATAATGAAGTCTATACCACCTAATAATTGCCTCTCCAACAAACAAAATGCAAATAATGAAGCAATTGAGAAGCTTTACTCCCACAGAAGAAGAAGAAGAAGAAGACATTAAAGATATTTATGAAGGAATTAATTTGATTGCTGCAACCACTATCCATTGACATCTTTTGCATCGTGGGTTTAACAACTTTTATGAAATTTAATTCGCCTCTTCTGAGAATTGTAGATCAGCAACTACATTTCACATAAAGATTAATGTTCTCAGTGCAGTAGGACATATACTTACTCTAGTGATATAGACAATACCAACTTTCAAGAATTGATATTATGGTAAAGAAGAGTATGTATGTGTTCTTTTTATTCTTCTTGTTGTTGGAGAAATATGTATGTTCAGTGTCAAAGACATCTTTACCCCTATATATACGGGAGGTTCAAAAGTAAGAATAAGCAAAAAACGAGTTATAAACTTAAACATCCTTAGTTTAAACTTCAAACCTAAAAAAATATATTAATTTACTTGACATGTTGTTCAAATATGATTGCATGTAAAAAAATTAGTCGTGGAGTGCTCCTTGGTACATTCAATTTCAATGTGTGAGCTTTAGCATAATTGAGTCACATATATGTCCCATTTTCAACCAATTTCTACTAGGGTTATGCACGATTTGCGTAGATTAACAAAAAAAAAAAATTGTATACGGCTTGTTAACATAAGATGAACACTCACAAAAAAATCAATGTTATGGCTGAAGTTTATTGGGTGGTGTTGAAAATGAGTGAATCTATTAGCTACTTCTTTTAGTGATTTATTTATTTACTAAAATTATTTCAAGGGGTTATTTGGGTCACGAGTTGGGTTAACGTGGGATCGTGTTAGGTTTAGATATTTTCGCACAATCCGACACGACCCAAACCCTTACCATGTCTAATTTTGAATTCCAAAAATAAAATGGCAGTTCTGAAATAGTATACATAATCAGTGGCAAATAGAGACCAGCCCCCGCAGATAAGGCAGTTAAGAGACCAGAGCAAATTATATTCCTCGGAGCCTGGTGTTTGCCATACTCGGAAACACAGTAAATGATGGAGCTGGCTGTGCGCAAACTATCGTTTTCTTCCCTTCCTCAGTGTAAGATAACCCTATTTTTGGTTAATTTCAAGCATCAAACTTCAACTTCCATGACCGTTATGTATGTCTTTATTGTGCACCTGCATATCTTTCCATTTCATGAGAGTGTTAATACATGGGAAGTGAAGGTTGTTGATTGATTTCATTTTAGAAATTTTAAATCTTGGTACTGGAGGTTGGTAAGCAGCAGAAATGTGTCCAAGACATGAGACAAACGAGATAAGCCATCTATTCTTTAACCACCATCAAATTTGAAGTTTCCCCATTTATTGGTATCCCTTCAATTCAACACCTTCAACAACTCTTAATTTCTATGAAAAAGTCATTAACAAAAGGGCCATCTTTTTATCTGTTATAATTATGAAAACCATTTCAACAGCAACCTTCCTCCATAAAGATTACAATGAATGGGTAGGGTGGCATAGCCAAATAATTAGAACCCACTTCCTAATGACTCTCAAATGCTCAATAAAGCCCACCATAATGTCAATCTGATCTTGCTGGATGGTGCTTCTTGGTTTGTTTGGTTTGGTGGATAGCTTCTTCTCTAGGAGTTAAGAAGTGTTCTTTATTTCAGGATACGAGGACTCGAACCCAGAACCTTGTCTGAGGGAGCAATTACTCCAAACCACTACACTAGTGGGTCATTTTCTGTTATTTGCTTTTGGTTAGTGAAGACTTTGTTTCTTGTGCTAATATGGGTTTAGAGATTCTATTGAGCACACCATCTTTAGGGAGATGGAGAGTGAAAAAGATAAGATGGGTTGGAGGGAGCAATATGGTGATATTTAGGATTTAGGTTGAACTTTAATGCGACTGGTAGGGAACAAGGAGGAACCTGAACCTTGTGAAGGCTGGAAATATGTTAGGCTATGTTGGATAGTCCATAATTGGCTTTACCATTTGTGTAGGAAATTGTTTTTTCATTTAACTTCTCTTGAGACTTAAGCGCTCACATGTATCATGTGGGGATCCTGGACTTGTCTATTTCTTTCCCGGTACACATGATCCAACTGGCACAACTAGTACAGAACTCTATACATTGTTGTCTATATATGCCCATGTACCTAAAGTTGAATAGTTTTTTTCTAAGTCTGGCCTGGTTTCTGCAGTGTTGAGTGATATTCGTTTAGCTCTATTGGACAACTGATCTAATCTGTTACTTAAATTTAGGGATGGAAAACAATGTGTTATTACGCCTAATTATCAAACTAAGTTTTACTGTATCAGTCGTCTGGATTTGAGGCTGGTAAGCTAAAAATTAAAACACGAAATATGCAGAGGGGGAGCTTATAAGAAGTGTAATTGAAACGTACAAATCATAACATCATGGCATTTCCATGTTTTTGTTCTTTGACACTATAGCTTTCTTTTGTACAATTCAGGCTACAATACATGCCACTTACTGTGGTAGTTAGTTTTGAATTATTTACAATGCTTAATCAAGTTTGTGAAATCCTCCATCAGCAAGCAAGAACTTAGTTAAATTACCTGGAAAATTTTCTTCCTGGTTCATATGTTTTGATGTTTCTTAAAGTATAAGGCTATATTGTTGAATGATTAGTGTTTCTGGCTGAATTGTCTTATGATATAATGCACTTTAATGGCTGGATCCTAACTTTTGTTCTTCAGTCAATGTGAAGCTGCAAAAGCAAAGAAGAAGACCATCCCTGGTATCTGCTGCTCTACCTGAAACAGCGGCTTCAATAGCGATTGCTGCTGCAGTTGTTGGTACAGCAGCTACCATTCTTGTGAGGAGAACCAAAGCTTCTGAGACAGCTGAGGTATGTACTTAATTCTAAAACAAAAAAATCAACTCAACTTAACTGAGCACTACTTTCATCTAACTGAGGTGGGAAAGTAGTTTACAAAGACATGATATGTCAAATTCAACAGTGAGAGGAAAGTAATGAGTGGGCGGTCATGACTGTGCCGCATCTCTTTTCCTATGCTTGAGCTATCTCCCCAAATGAACTACTTTTCAGAAGTGCAGGTTCCTATGAAAATCTGTGAAGCCTGTGGTGGTTCTGGTATATGTCCTGAATGCAAAGGCGAAGGCTTCGTTCTTAAGAGACTCTCAGATGAAAGTGCTGAGAGGGCAAGATTGGCTTCTAAGAATATGGCCACTCGATACACAGCAGGGTACACTTTCTTATGAGTTTCTCTCACTTTTCCTTCACTCTCTCTCTCTTTCTCTCTCAGCAAACACTTTGGGTTCCATTAATGCCAGAATTCTTCCTTAATGGCATCAGGCTTCCAAAGAAATGGAGCTACTGTACAAAGTGCTCCTCTGCCCGATCATGCCTTACCTGCAGTGGCCGTGGAAAGATAGTTTTGCTGTAACCATCTTTGTGCTTCAGATAGAGGAGACCGCACATTTGACGCATATGTAAGACATATATCGGCTTGTAGGCTTCTACTTTGGAAGATTGAAAATGTCCTCTTTGTTTTTGTAGTCTGTCAATTGCTGCATTGGTTGTAGATCAAGTGATGGGTGATGTATATATTTGTATTGTAAGATCACACAAACACCCCAAGTTTAGTCACATCTATTGATGAGGGATATAAATACCTTTTGTTAAGAGAAGCACTATTTACCCTCTCCAGTGTAGTCCAATACTCAGTTACAACAATGGCAGAACATCTTATATTGTTCATCATCTGTTGAACAGAGAACGTAAAACAAAAGTTTCAAGTGGTATAGAAAGCAAGACACCCAAAAACAAAAGACCAAAACACAAACAACAATTTTGGCACACCATAACATAAAACCTACAAAACTCTGTCACGCCTTCATAGTTTGATAATGTTTGATTTTTAATTGTTCGACATTGTCTTGTCGATGCCCAAAAAATATAGAGAAGCCTTATGCTTTCCACTCTCTTACCCTTTGAAACCCTTTAACATCATGACTAAATCCCCAAGTTTTGAAACGTCTTGGAGAACCCTTCACCCAAGCACGAGCATACATAAAAGCCAGAGCCATAACCATTCTTCTAAGCCTCAATTCAAATTGCTCTAGAGAAAATTCGAGCTACCGTAAGCCACAACCTCAAGCTCTCCCTTCCAACCACCATAGCCAAAAACCTCATCCTCCATCAAAGCTTCTTAGAAACCCTCCTGCATGCCAGCATAGCCTATATTGAGGAAACCACCAAGCACATTCTCATTTGCTAAACTTGTAGACTTTAGGGCCATTTACTTATCAGGAATGGAGAAAGTAAGGAATCGGGAAATTTAGGAATAGGGGAAGTAATGAATTGGTATGAGAAGAATAATTCCCATTAAGCTGTTTACTAATTATATGGAAGCAACACATGAATGAAGTTGATTCCCATTGTCATTGTTTACTCATTCTCATGAATCATAGCTTAAACTAATTTGATTACTAAAATGCCTTGCACATATAAATATAAAATTTTCACCTAAGTTACTTGTAAAAAAGCAAATTGACAAAACTTTATTTTACAACTAATATATATTATATGATACTATATGACGAGTGATGAAAAAACTAGTAATATAAAAAATAAAAGAAATATAAAAAAAAAAAAAAATTCAAATATGACACCGTGATAAGAAGCATAACAAGACAAGTAGAGGCTAGCAACCAAGGTGAAAAGGGAAATTTTTTGCTTTTTCCAATAATGATTAGGGTGTTTTGGAATTATTGTAAAATGGTAAAGGTATTTTTGGAAGGTAGTAAGGGAAAAAAGGAATGAGAATCAGACCAACTACCCCCTCCTAGTTGATATGATTCCTAGTTTTGAGGGGATGTACGGATTTAAAGTGGGGCCCATATATTTTTTCATTCCTGATTGCAAGTAAACGTTGGAGAAGTCAGGAATAGAAATCATTCACTATATTCTCATATCTATTAATGATACAAAAAATTTATACCCAAGGAACTAGGAATGGCAGCTTTTGACCCATTGTAGCCGGTAGCCCACCTCATAAGCCCAATAACAATCATATAGCAAGCAAGCATCCTTCACGTGGTCACTCGTGAAAGTGCTGTAAAATTCATGGTTCCGACTTTATTCATGCTTCTTATGCCAAGACCTCTTTCAATTTGTAATAAACATTGAATCTCTTTTCATTGCCATCTCAAGGAGCCATCAAGAGTAACAAAGCACTTCCTAAGTTTTGCACGAGAAAATAATTCCCTAACTCTGTTTCATTGCTCCTTTTTCCTATCACTCTCCTCCCTTGATAGGTGACATGAGGAGAGCGATACAGAGAGGGGGATAATGAAACAGAGATAGATAAGTTTCTCTCCTGCCTAGTTCTTATTAATTCAAAAGTGGGGGAAATATAGAGCCTTGTTCATCTCTCCTGCAAAATGACCCCAACCAATGGCGGACCCAAATTTTTTTTATAGGGGTAGGCTAAATTTTTTATTTTATAGAGGAGATATATTATGAACTCGTAAGATGTCATCGCTTTGAACGTACTAGTTGCTTCCCCACATATAGAATTAGTGGCTCCATCCTTAATCAAGTTCTCAACAATTGTACAAGATGCATTAAACATATTTGACAAATTCGAACAAGAATCCTAATGAGATTTGAGTTCAGTAAGTTCCTCAGGAATTGAAGTATCAACATTAGATGCATAAGATGTATCTTGTTATCATTACTACTTTTTTTTTAAGAATGAATAAATAGTATCCTAACAAGAAATACTAGACACCAAAAATTATATATGTTAATTAATAATTCAAGATGCAAAAATAAAACATATATCAACAATCTCCAAACGTTTTCACTCAAACCCTAAATCATAAAAACTTAACAACAACAATTAAAATTGAATATTGAATATTTAAAAAATAAAAAAAACTTACCAAGATTGAAGAACCCACTGAAGATGAGTTGGTACAATTTTTTAGAGAAGGAGAGCTATTTCCTCTAGGCTCTCAAGGTTCAAATATGGTGTTTTGGGTGGTTGGAAGAAAGTTTTTGATGTTTGCTCTTTGTGGGTGTAGCCCAATATTAGTACGATTAGAATAGCTCAAGTTGGTAGAGCCTTAATGTGAGTTCTGCTTCTAATCAAATTTATATAGGTTTGGATTGATGTTTATTATTTCCTATATGCTTCAGGAGTGGGCTTATTTTAAATAGAGGACTGAGCTATTATTTACGTTACTTAGATTGAGCTATTATTAGTTTATTAAAAAAAGAAAAACAAGGCATATGCAGGCTATATTAATTTGATGCAATGGGCTAATATTTATTTGAGTAGAAATAAGCCTATAATAATAAGACCATATTCAATATTTTATAAATGTTCCCCTAAGTTGGAGCCCACTCTAATCTAGGCTTAGGTCCGCCCTTGACCCCTGCGTAGAGTATTCTCCACATTTGATGATTTTCACAAAAAAGATAAGTTTATATATATACATACATATATATATAAACAAGTCAACTTCTACCCAGCTAAAAATTGAGGATCTCTCTATTATTAAATCAGATTTCCAAATTCCATCCAACCTGGAATGCCATTTATGGATAAGTTCGCGTGGATGCCACAAAACACCCATTGACATCTGCATCAATAATTCTCTAGAGAATCTATTTTAATTGACAACAAGATTCAAGAATCCTTAGGCGGGAGCAAATGGCTTGTCTTGATGTTTGGGTGTGACGGTTTTACTGTTACGTGTTGTTATCAATTCATTCATATTATAATGCATGTATGTATTTATTAAATATTAAGCTATAGTAATATTGCCATCCACTATCACGTGATGAATTAATAATACCACGTAATAATATGACAGTCATACTCACAACTTTATTTGTCTCTTGAAAGATCGTCTTACATTGAGGTCAATTACTCGAGCATCGCATTTCCTAGCACATCACAAATTGAGTGGCATTCACTGCTTAGTTAAAACATGAGAATATATAACAATGTTTTTATTCATAATTCAGATTTGTAACATATATGCTATATCCAAACTAGACAAGTTCCAACATAAGTTTTTTTTTAATAGGGAAAACACAAAAACAAATCTATTATATGAATGTAACAAAACAAAATTATATAAAAAAAAACTGCTACTGAAAATTATCTTAAGTTTAAACCTTGAAAGTAAAAACATTTGTATACAAGATACATAGAGGCACACGCTATATGCCAACTCTATTTTCATTACAAATAAAACTTCTTGTATCAACTCAACTGATCATCTCTTGTATTTCTAACAAAAATACAGTACAGATATGATTGATTGAGATTATACAAAATGGCACTTCTCTTTGATTATTGGTTTGTTCCACACCACATACGCACCTTGGTGCATGTTGACCTTTTCCCTTGTTTGACTAAACATGGGAAGGTGTGGTGTTGGGTGGGGTTGGAGCTGAGACAACACGCCTACCACGCTCAGACCTACTATTCTCTGCAAACCTCAAACTCTGCTGGTGTAGCCCCTTCTGCTTCTCCTCCTCATTCCACTCAGCTCCATAGTAAAACTCTTCCGTCGATTTCACGACATCTTTTGAAGGCGGAAGGAACATGCTCCCCCACTGAGGGAAGTGCACCAAAGTCACTGGAAGTGTGCAGCACACGATCATTACCCCCATCAGAGACAACCCTGTCGCAGTTGAGAATGCTGAGCTTGAGAAGAACACTAGTTGGGTCAGCCCGGACCCGAAGTTCCCACCCGCTCCAGTGAGGCCCGATATGATGCCTAGGGATCGCCTGGAGATGAAGGGGATGACGCCAAAGGTGGCTCCGCATGCAGCTTGGGCTCCTACAGAGAAGAGGATCATGGCAAAGACCGCAATGGGGAGTGAGTTTGCTCGGCCGAGCCAGATGCAAAAGACTCCTCCTAGTGTTTGGAGGATCCAAAGAGTCCATAGCCTGCCCCTCATGCCAAAGTACCTGGCTGCTCGATCAGACGCAAATCCTCCAAAGGGACGGGCCACTAGGTTGGCCATGCCAAATGTTGCAGCAATGATTCCAGCTGTGTGAAGCTTGAGATTGAACCTGTTTGATTAAAGGACATTTGAAATTAATCCCAGCTCTCTCTCAAAATACTTTGTTGTTCAAACATATAGATATGTTGGGTTGGAAATTCTCAATCTAGTCTTTTGAACAGCTCTAATTTAAATGTGTGGTCCAGATTGACAGTTTGACAACATAACATGTTAGATATTTAAAACGAAATATTTTGCTAACTAGTGTTGTTAACAACATTATATTCTTGTGGTGAGACCCGATATGACATGTGAGTCGCTTGTAAAACATGTGATCAACAAATATGGTAAAAATCATTCTACTCTTTAAAAAGTAAAAGAAGAAAAAAAAATGAAGGACAAACCTGTCATAGAAGT